AAAAAAAAAATTAAAAAAAAAAAAACCTGTCTGACTGAATCCAACTAATGTTCTTCCTAGCACTCTGTAATTACTAGCACAATCTAAAACTGATGAAACAAAAATACAAAATAAAAAGTAAAGGTTTTGCTTCTGTAAGATTTTCACAAGCATTAAATTTTTATTGTAAGTTTTACTCTCCAGGAGCCTCTGAGTAGAGGTTGGTCTATAGCCATCATATCATCTCAGGGAGTGGACTGCAAGCCTGTCCTATTTATTTCCCCTTGTGTGTGTTCATAGATTCCCTCTCCTTATCATAAAAGGAAACGGTCTTCTTTTATTGATTTTTCAGATCTTTGTTATTCAGCCACAAACTCAAATGCCTTCCGGGGTCAGACAGGCAATAAGGCTTTGCTTTTAATGGCCCCCAAGTGGCAAAGTCTTATCCTGCTTTGATAAGAATGGGCCATTAATGGGGCGTCTGGGTGGCTCAGTCACCCCATCCAGCTCAGGTCACGATCTTGAGGTTCTTGAGTTTGAGCATTGGGCTCTGTGCTGACAGCTCGGAGCCTGGAGCCTGCTTCAGATTCTGTGTCTCCCTTGCTCTCTGCCCCTCCCCTGCTCATCCTCTCTCTCAAAAATAAATAAACATTAAAGAAAAAAAAAGAATGGACCGTTACTAATGATTACGTACAGAGGATGGAGACTGAGAACGCAGAACGGAGGAAATGTGGATGTCGTGTGTGATTCCTGCAGTTCAGCCTCAGAAAACAGAGAAGCCAAAGATCAAAGCTTAAAGCTTTGGAGGGTAAGGAGGAGGGAGCTAGGGCCGCCTGGCAGGCAGGAGTGTCTGGCATAAATGGGTGTTGTACCCCACGGCAGGCAGAGAGGTTTCCGTTTCCTTTAACTAAGTGTGCTGACATAGGTTGCCAAAGGTGGAGCTCATGGAATTACTCTGCACCCAGAGCCTGGAGGCAGGCTCACAGCAGACCAGGTTTCCTAGGAGGCACTGAATGAGGGCAGCGGACTGTTGTCAACTGCTAATTTAAAAGAGGTGGAGTGGGGAGTGAGAGAGAGAAACATATGGAGAGACAGAGGACAGAAGAAAGAAAACAGGCTGACTTGCAGATTGCAGGGTCCATGTAGATTTCAGGTTTATTGCACAGAGATAAGGGGCTGGGCAGTGAGAGGCTCAGATACAGGAGAGAGGGACATCCAGGTGGGGGGGCTCTGTGGTTCTCCTGCAGGGTTATCAACAAGATTACCTTCCTCATCAGCTCTGGCTCTCCACTGACGTGCACTACAATCTTGTCACACACCCTGGGATGCTTGGTGATGTCTGCATGGTCCAGATTTCTGGA